ATTGCATGTGAATGTTTGGATATATTATGTACAACAAAGTATGTTTGTATAATTTATATTTTACTGAAAGTTGAATAGGAATCTACGGATAGATTCTGAAATGGTAGATATGAGTATATTATGTATTCGTTATTTCTGAATTATAGGTGTTGATGTTGTTTAGTTAATCCAATATACAAATGTTATGTTGTTAGTAAATTATTAAAATAGTAATTGTCAAGAATTAGGGTTGAGTTTGAATTCTGTACAATTATGGGATTGTATGGTTTTAAATTTCGCATATAGTGAACATAAAAGAATACGTAAAATGTTTAAATTAGTCACATAGTTTAAAGAGAACTATTGTGATATTTCTATGAAAGTTTTTCGTTATATTAATTAAGGGTTTTATTATTCTCCTTCAACATAAGATAGATATCTTATGTTGTAGAGAGAAAATGAGTGGGTCCCACCATTACAAGAAAAAAAGAAAAAAAGAAAAAGGTGAGGTGCGGAAATCAAAGTGAGAGAGTAGGAGATAAGTAATCTTATGTAAAAGGAGACTAATATTTCTCATTAATTAATTAAGTGTGAAAGTATACCGTATGCAGGTAACACTTTGTGCTTACTAACAAGGTGTTACAAGAATACATAGTTATAATTCTGAAGAGAGAAGAAAAATAACTTTAACATTATAACTATGTATTTCCGGGAATACATACTTATAAATTTTTTACGGCACTAAACCTTACATCAAGTGACATTACAAATCATTTTGATATATATATATATGGGGCAAGATTTATGGGGCATTATAGGATAAGATTCTTTGATACTAATACTAAAAGATCCTATCCATGTGTGTGTGAATTATTTTTTCAGATAATAGGAAATAATTTTCTCATATTGCAAGACATCGAAATTCATATTTTTATTTTATTTTTTTCTTTCTTTTTAACAAGTGGAGTGTCTCATCACTTGTTGTATCTATGTCATAAGAGATGTTACCTAATGTGATATGCTAATATGATTTAGGGCACTAGAGAATCCGTGTGTGTGTGTGGTGTTTTTTTATAAATATTTTTATATGCCTAGTAAGGTTGATTTGTGCATGTTTTGCTAATCTGTACATATTTGTATGGGAAATATTTTTTCATGTAATAAGAAATAACTTTTTCATGTTGTGAGATGTTAAAATCTATATATCTTTTTGTTTTTTTCTTTCTTTTTAACAAGTGATGTATCCCATCATTTAATTATATTTATGGCATAAAAAAATCCTATCCTTTGTGACATGCTAATATGGTTCAGGGCATCGGAGAAGCCCTATTTGTATACATGCTAATATGCATGACCGAACAAAAAGCAGCCAAATATGGTGTCACTGTGTCAGCATTTTTGTTCATTTGTCACTATATTTGACCAAAAACGTGCTTCTTTCTATGAATTCGTGTCGCCAGCTAGGATTACCCCACCACTCTCCGTACAAAAGCATCGCCACCGCTCAAATCACTTTCTTTTTCTTTTGGTCAACTTCACCTTCCATGCTATTTCCAAAAAGAAAAACTTCGCCTTCCATGCTTGGCTTCTTTTTGGAAGGAAAATCATTTTGTATTTTGACAGAGACAAAAAACTTAAGTTAAACTAAGTCTATAAAAAGTTTAGTCAATGGAGAACACGCAAGCTGGACGTGGAAGCATATACGAATGAATCTACTTAAAATATATATAATACTATTCACATGCGTAACGCTACCATATTAATATCTTTTTTGGTCTACACTAATATAATATTAATTATTTAATAACTTTTTTGGTCTACAGTAACTCGTTTAACTTTCGGAAGTATGAAGTCATTTGGGTTTTATTTACGAGAAAAATTATATTTATAACTTTTTTTTTTACAAATTATATTGTATCTTATTGATAAGATACTCTTAAGTGAAGTCTTACGATAAAATATAGTGTAGTTTAAAAGTTAAAAAAAAATATTCTTTTTTTTTCTGCAGTTAATATAGATAAGTTATGAGCCCAAAACGACGTCGTTTTGGAACGAAAAAATAATGTATTTTTATAATTATAATTTATTTTAGGATTATAATAATCTTTTTCATTATAGTTTTTTAATCTTTGAACTCAAAACGACACTGTTTTGGAAGTAAATGTAAATAATTTATCTACATTCACTGTAGAAACATTAAAGCCTTAATTTTTTTTTATCAATATAACTCTCCTCTTATTTTACTTATAAAAATCTTTTTTTTAAATAAAAGGAATATGCAATGTACACGAAAATATGGAGTAAACTATTTTTTTTAAATAAAAATATTTAAGATGCTAACTACTTCATTGAAAATACTCAAGTTCTCGAGCACGTGCATTGCATTTTTAAAATGTTAAAAAAATTATTTAAAGAAAAATAAGAGATTAATGTTTTTTTTACAAGATGAATATAATTTTGGAAAAAAATATTTGTCCTTTCAAATGACAAAATTTATATCATTTCACTCTACAAAGATGTGAGACTCACATCTTTATTTTTTTTATCCACTCTCTCCTCTTTTATTTATTTATTTCTCTCACTTAAAATGACACAAAAAAAATGACACAATTTTATATCTTTTAAAATAACACACATTTTTCCTATAATTTTATATCATGCATTCTTATAAAAGCGGGTGAACCCAATCAAGAGATACAAGAAAAAGAGAAAAAAAGAGTTGCATTCACTTTAATATGAATGTATGAAATAAAATTATTTCAGAAAAATATTATTTTCATAAAATAAACTCAATTTTAAAATTGTAAATATAAAATTCTGTAAAATTATTATTGTATAAGTGTTTCTTTCGTTATAAATTATAATAATTTTGATTAAAATGACATGATTATAAGTGTTTTATGAGAACAACTACTATTCCTTTTATTTATGGAAAAGTATGTATAATTTTAAAGAATGTAAAGTTAAGAGATAGATAAAGGAGGAAAGTAAGTGGACAAAAAAATATAAAGTTGTAGGTCCTACTTCTTTGTATTTTAAAAGAACATGAGTTGTGTCATTTAAAATACAAACACTTTTCACATTATTTATTCATAAATAATTAGAATCCATCAACGTGATCGTATTAAATAATCACAATCTGACTTTTGATGACTGTCTAATACGAGCGTTATTTTTGTTTAGAGAAAACGTGCTTTCAACAGCAAAACAATTTGGAACTTCATAGCTAGTTTTTCCTTATTCAACAACAGCGCAAAAGGGTGTCCCTGCACTGCAAGTTAGGTGAGGACTGAGGACCAAAAGCGCTTATAAAAACTCCATTATCTCTCTTCTATTATTCTTTCTCCTATTCTTCTTCTTCTTCTTCTCATTGTAGCATTTCAACACATTCATTTTTTTTTCCTTTTTAATCTCAAAGGGTTTCTGAAAGCTCTTATTTTTTCAAGTGAGTATTCATTTGCATATGTATCTCTGCTTTAACTTTCCATTCTCACATTCTCAAATCTCACTCACTCACTCATACCCCCACGTGCACATTGTTCTCTATGTTTGGTTTGGCTGCCAAGAATGTTACTGCAAATGGAAACTTGTGCTCAAATCTCACACCAAATAGTTGTTAACTTTTTATTGTTTTTGTTATGTCCTGTTGCCTATTTTTAAAAAAGGGGTTGTTCTTCTTGGGTTCTCTATAACATTGTTCATGTTCTTATTGGTTTCTTTTCTCTTTTGAAGACTATTCATCTGGAACTTGCATTGTGAACTGAAGATTTGTTGATTACCCTCGTTTATTAGGTACCCTTTTGCCTCTTCTTCTCTGCTTGTGAAATTGAGAATCTGAACTTTGAGTTCCAATTTGTGTTTGATTGTTGTTATTATTATTATTATTATTATTATTATTATTTATTTTTTTAATGGAGATTGCGTAAATATGTTGACATTCAATGGTTCGGTAACAGTTTTGACTTGTGAATCTTTCTTGGTGCCTTCGCTTTTAATGAATATTCAATCTTATTGAATTTTTATTTTGACATGGTCGGATTCTTGGTCACTTTTTATTTATTTAATTTTTATTTGCAAAAACGTTTCTTTTTCTTTTAGTATGTCATTATTTCCTTAAAGGGGTCCGTTGAATGAGTAGTTAATTCAATTTTATTTTTTTTGTTGCTGACCGCAATTTGGATACTGTAGTGTTAAAGAATGATTCTGATTTTTCTGCCTTGGAACTGTTTTTGATTAAGATGTTGTTATGGTGTTTTTGGTTTTCAAACTTGATTTTTCGTTTTTAGGTCTAATTGCTTGTTGTCGTGAACAAGTAAAATTGTGAACTTGACATAAATCTCTGTTCAATTTACCAGTCTTAGATTGTTGATTTTGAGTATTTTTCTTTGAAAATAAAAGTCTGCTAGAATTTATGCTTGAAAGAAGTATGCTTACAATTTTTTTTCAAATAGTTTATGTTCTTTTTGATGTCATGATGGTTATTTGAGATGGTAAGAGGAGCCTGATGAGTGGTGGTAACAAATTCTAACCATTGAATTGCGTACGTGTATGTATAGTCAATATTAAAACAAAATGTTAAGTGACTTTTTTAACTGGTCATATAACTTTTAAATAATTTCTAATCTTGACCATATATTGAGAAATTGTCAAAGTAACTTTCCTCCTTATGTTTAGCAGAAATTGTCATTGTAGAAACTCTCTATGTTGGGTTTATGTATTTAGCAGTTTGCCTCTTTAATAATTTATGGGATGATAAAAAGTTGGATTGAAACTTGATGCCATTTGCTTAATTATGTGGTCACATGATATTCAATGACTTCAAACTGATCAAATTACATGATCATTATCTTTAGGAGTTCAGCAATTGAGAAACTGCTACCTCAAGATCAGTGACAAGAAAGCATTGAAGCAGTGGTTAGAGTTGGGTGAAGTGGAAATTTATTAGTTCCATTTGCTCTCAATACTCCTTAAAAGTTGTACATCATTGCTGCATTGTAAATTTGTGCACAAAACTGGATCCAATGGACCTCAAAACAAATCATACTCCTGTGCTTGCTGATACTGCACCATTAACACGGTCAAGGCTGGGTGTGCCTTCCAATCTGTTACCTTACTCTCCAACAGGGTCAACCATTCCGCATGGTTCCTTGCTGACAATTCCTAGGAAGAAAACAGGAATTCTTGATGATGTTCGTTCTAGTGGTTGGCTAGATGCCATGAAATCATCTTCTCCTACTCACAATAAAATATCAAAGGATGTTAGCCATGGGAATGCATCATCTGATGCTGATGCAGCCTATTATACTTGGCTGGTATAACATACTTCTCTCTATGTGATTTTGTGTTCAATGATTCTGGAAGTGTTGTTAATGCAGTTTCCTTTTCCATATTTTCTTTTTCATTTTTTTAAATCTCACAGCTGAAGTTTCCATCAGCACTTACATCTTTTGAGCAAATTGCTAACTGTGCAAAAGGCAAGAGAATAGCATTGTTTCTGGATTATGATGGGACTCTTTCACCAATTGTGGATGATCCTGACTGTGCCTTCATGTCCGACAATGTATGTAACATTCTGCTTAGATTTAGTGTCCAGAATTTCAATTGGGGTGATTTTCTTCTCTTGTTCTTATTTTGCTGGTTCTGGTCCTGTAACTTCTGGCAGATGCGTGCTGCTGTTAAAAAAGTGGCAGAATATTTTCCCACCGCAATAATTAGCGGAAGAAGCCGTGACAAGGTAGTTGCAGAATTTTATAAAACAAAACCATTTTCTTCCTCTATTTTATATCTTTTATATTTACTCACACCGTTTGTTACACTGTGTTTGCTCAGGTCTATGAATTTGTTGGAGTAACAGAACTCTATTATGCTGGTAGTCATGGGATGGACATTATGGGTCCTCTTAGACAATCTGTATCTGATAATCACCCAAATTGCATTATGTCTACTGACCATAAGGTACTGGTTTTCAAAGTTTCCATCTGGCATATGTTTCTGAATATGTGTCTGACTTCGAATTGCCTTTCTAGAAGTACCTTTTTAAAGGACCTCTGTTTTGATTTATAATCTTTTAAGTTTGCAGGGTAATGAAGTCAATTTATTCCAACCCGCTGCTGCATTCCTGCCCATGATTGATGAGGTATGTATATTTGAAAAATTCTGCCTTGAATCATCACCTTTCAATATTTTTTTTCTGTATTGGAATGTTGTATCCCGATTGACTTATGTCTGCACAGGTACATGGGTTGCTCATGGAGTGTACAAAAGACATTAAAGGAGCAAAAGTTGAGAACAATAAGTTTTGTGTCTCTGTACATTACCGTAATGTAGATGAGAAGGTATTACCTTCTGTTTTGATGCTTATTGTTAGTGGTATTTACATAAGAATAGGGAGTTTTTGTGCCTAGGATGATCCCCCTTTTCACCAACTTATTTCATACTTCATCATGGTTGTAATTGTAAGTATTATTTCTTCTTATTTTGTTTCATTTAATGTATAGATTTGGGATATGGTGGGACAACGTGTATATGATGTTCTGAAGGGCTACCCACGATTACGGATAACACATGGGCGGAGGGTACTATTTCTAGACACAAATTTTGGATTCAATTTTTTGAAAGATCTAACTATTATAGTACTTTTAGGAACTTATGATTACTAATTTTCAGGTTTTAGAGGTCCGACCCATGATTGACTGGGATAAGGGAAAAGCTATCACATTTTTACTTGAGTCACTTGGTGAGTTCATTTGTTGTTTTTGTAAAGGTCACTTTCTTTAAATATCAGAATTTTGTTTTGCAGTAAATGACATCAGAAATTTTTATTTAGGACTTAACAATTGTGATGACGTGCTAGCTATATATGTTGGAGATGATCGGACAGATGAAGATGCATTTAAGGTAATGTATATATAGCTTCTTATGATGCTATGCCTCAATTTACATGTTTTTCAATTTTCATTTGCCTCTTACTCTGTACATTTCCTATATACTGATATCAAATGAACCGTAACAGGTTTTGAGAGAAGTTAATAAAGGTTGTGGCATCTTAGTGTCCTCTGCCCCAAAGGAAAGCAATGCGGTTTACTCTCTTCGGGATCCTTTAGAGGTGATTCTCTCGGTTGTTATTCAGTTTGTATGTTTTCTTTCAAAGTTCTCTTGTAATTACATGCATTTTCTTTGGCATTAAACATGCTGTTTGTCAACACACTGGGATACTATGTTGATCATCATCACTTCATTAGGTCTGTTTCATTGCTTATATTGTTATTGTTTCCTAATGACATATATTTTACCATAATGTTGTATTTGCAGGTCATGGAATTTCTTAAGTCACTTGTGGTATGGAAATCAAACTTGCTAAACAGACTTGTATAGTGTATACAGGAGAATATACTGCACTATACTATATATTAAAAGACAGCCTTATGTTTAAATTTCGGGTTTACTTGGAGACATTCAAAGAGGTCTGCTGGAGCAGATTTAGGCACTGAAGACCTCTCAAGAGATAGCAATAGCATTGTCATTACCCAGTTGTTTTTTTTCAAAGCTCAGAGGGTTTTTTTATCCCCATCAAAAGTTTATTGTATTTAATTCATATTCTTTCTTCTGTTTTGGTTACTACCCCTAATCAGCTAATTGGAGGTTTATATGACATTGTTCTTTTTTCTTTTTGTTGAGAATTTTCATTTGTTAAAGTTTTTAATATGTACATTGGATATCATTATTTATATTACTTATGTTATATCAGTCTGATTACTATTACATGCATTATAGTTTCCCCTTCTCTTCTTCACTCCTTATCTCTTATCACTGTCTCGCAACTGACTTCAAATCGTTCTACAAGAGATCTTGTGAATTGTGATATGTTAGTTCAAGTTATTCCTTTATCTAAATTATTTAATTAATAAGATGTACATTTCAGATTGAGGTGGTTTGATAGTTTCTAATTAAAAAATAAATAAAAATGAAGTGGTATCTCTTTCTCTTATGAATTAAGAAGGAAGTTAGTTATGTACCAAAAAAGAAGAAGGAGGAAGTGAGTTGCAAAATATCTTTAGGAAAGAAAAACTTGTTTCGAAAGACATTTTTGGGCGTTCATAATCTTTTCCTCTCTTTTGGTTAGCTAAATAATTTAATGTAACTTGGAAAAATTCAATAAGAAACAAAACTTAAAACTGTTTTCATTTATTCATTGCGCTGGTTTACACATATTTGAACTAGTAATTAGCATGTCATGAGAGAATAGTTTGAAATGACTAACTATATATGCTTTCGAATTCTGGAGAGGTGAAACTGGTAACATCATGAACTTCGGAAGAAGCAAGTGACATGAGTCTCTTCTTTACCATGTCTAAGGATTCCAATGTTGTGTCAAAAGTTGTAGGAATAAGGGATACAAGGCCAGGATTTTGACTATTGAACACTGAGAAGATAGTGGCATCTTCAAAACCATTATTTAGATAGAAATGGAACAAAGCCTTGGGGAACACAAAAACATCACCAACTTTGAGAATCTTTTGGAAAAACTGGTTTTGGGTATCAACAAATCCAGCTAACAATACACCTTTGGTAACAAAGATCATCTCAGTAGCTCTAGGATGATAATGAAAGTTTACTAGGCCATTCCCTTCAATGTCAGTTCTTCCAATTGAGAGGCCAAGAGTATTTAGGCCAAGAAAATCAGCAGCAGTTACAATTTTTATGGATGCACCAAAAATGTCTGCAGGGCCAGGGTTGCTTAATTCCATGGTCTTGAAATCTTGAGCTGTTACATTAGCGGGGTTTTGGCATGGGAAGCCATTGATGAATATGGTTTGTTTTTTGGGTGGAACTGCTGGACAACTGTCTTGTAGATTATCACAATCTGCTAGGCAAACTTGGATGTTAGTATAGGCAAAAAAGAAGAACATAAAGTAAAGGTAAGCAAAGGATTTCATCTTTATTCTCCACTTGGTTGCTATTTCTTGCACCTTATTGGGTTGGCTGAATAAATTATCCTCTTCAATTTATATATATAAATATGTACACACCAATAAGTTCTTGATGATATTTGGTCTTTTGCTAATGTGAGTCTTTTTAGGGTTGCATGTAATGCAAGTAATGACAATCTTGGAGTTCACTTCTAGCTTTGAAGTATAATGTAAGAAGTGTTTGCTTGAAACAAAGGAAACACTAACTGTTTCATTGAGTTAGCAGCATGTTCTATAACTGAAATTTCAACTTTATTTTTGAAACTTTAAGGTTGTGTAATATGAAATTCCATGTGTGGATCTTCAATACCATTCACTAATAGCAGAAGATATTTGAGGAATGACATTCACCCAGTTATCAATTTCAATGGTCAAATTCAAACAAGTTATGCTGTCAATTTTCAGGTCATGCTTCTATTTTGGATAGGAGCTATTGTGGTAAACTACAAGGTTTCAATGTTGAAAGGAGAGAAATTCCTTGGTAGTCACTCCTCCTGTATTATATTCATTATGGCAAAAGCAAAGTGCAATTAACAGTATTAAAAAAGGCAGTTTATAGTGTATGTAGTGGAATCTTTTCTATTGGTAAATTCTTTTTGACAATGACAAACTTTGGATGGATTTGGACATTTGGTGTATATTGAATTTTTGCACTAGTTTGATAAAAAGTCATATTTTTTAAATAATTATATAAAAATTGCTAAAATGTTTATATATATATATATATATATAATGGGTTAATGTTTATCATGTTTTAGAAGATAAATTTTATTTTCTATTCACACATAAAATTATATGGGGCCTATATGAGGAGAAGAGAGAAAAAGAGAAAATATGAATCTCACACACTTTTATATATATCTCCTACAACATGAAAAACAACAAACCCTATATAAAAAGAAAAATCATTTTATATCCCTCTAAATTACATTCTCAATTTTTATTTGCTTATACTGTTTTTGTGTAACTTCAATTCAGGTTTATGTTTTCTCCGGATTCCAGAGTATTAAAATGTCTATACAACTGTATTTATTATTTTTCGTTTTCAGTAAAAGTCTATCCAACATTATAAAAGAAATGAAAAACAAGAAATTAATAATTTTAAAACTTGTCAAACTTGAGAATTATCCGATAAAGTATAAACCTCATGGCAAAATAAGGTTGTACGGTTCGTATCTACATTGTATAACAACCATAGCAGTTCAAGGTAGATTATAATAGTCCAATGACACGTTCCCATCAATAAAGGTATAAACCCCTCAGGCAAAATAAGGTGGAAAACTTGATAAAGGTTTATCCCCTTTAAGCCGTCGAAGATACATAGTTGGTTAAGGATTAGGATTATATTTCTTATGGGCATGAGTTCGAATTTCGCTAGCTGATGTGAGAATTTTATTGATGTGTGATATGTAATCCCTTCAAGAAATATTCAAATAGGTTGAGAGGTCTACTCTGACCCTGATAGGATATCAATGTCTAACCCTATCTAAACTTTTAATTACTATAAAGTTTATCCTCTTGTAACTGTTCAAAATTTGCACTATAGCAATAGGAAAAAAAACAATAAATTAATGTCCATTTGTAGGGGTGTTTGCGGTCTGGATTGGATCCCTTTTTTAAAGTAAAAATTATCCGATCCAATCCCTTCAATTTGGATTTCTTTTAAAATTCGATTCAATTCAATCCAATTTTATTCTGTTTGAATTGGATCGGTTTTTGATTTTTCAAGAAGACTAAAATTTCAGCCATACAAATCATTAGCTATATCAAAATAAACCCTTTCAAAATTACAAACCATTGAAAAATTCAAGTCTTCAAACTAAGACAAGTCTTAAAACTCATGAAGAGTTAAAATAAATTAATAGATAATAAAAAAACTAAAACAAGATAGTTTGTTATCAATAACATCCAATATTCCAAATCTACAAAACAACAAAATTTCAAGTCACCATCTTTCAAAAATAATAAATACATAATACATTGAATCGGTTGGATTAGACTGATTTTCACCAACAAAACCAAAAACCGATTCAGTCCAATTAAAATATGCGGGTTTTTTTTTTCGAATTTTGGTTTTTCGGTTAATTTGGTAATCAATTTTTTGGTTTTGTCACCGCAGTTTGAATCGATTTAGATCAGTTGATAAACACCACTATCCATTTGCATAGACAAAGTACACAAAAATCTGAAACCTATTATTGTCCCAAATACTGACAACTAAGAAATATATTATTTTCCCCTGAACCCTGTTAAGACAATATAGAAGGGCTTTGTTCAAGGACCATTGCTGCATAATGGGTCAAAACTAGATCAGACACATTCAAAAGATGGTTATGCTGTTATCAAAAAAAGAAGAAGATGGTTATGCTTCCTCTAGAATGAGAAGAGGAGCAAATTCAATTTAAGATTCCAACACTTTCTTTTTTCCTCAATGTAACACCCCATCTCGGATCAGCTTGTTATCATACAAATGGTAGTAAGCGCAACAAGTTTAATTAAATAAATGTATAAGCTATAACTAATCATTCATCTATGATTTTTATCTTAAAATGTGAATAAACTTTTTCTATTCTTTATGTATTGCAAAGTATAACACCTCGCATTTCTAAGTTTAAATATTAATATATTAAATGAGAATTAAAAAGGAAGGATTAGTGAAAATCCTAAAGATTAGACCAAAATACAAAGAAAGGACAAAACGGTAATTAGCCATGCACACAACCCTAGGAAGATAAAATTGAGTAGAAGGTCTCAGATGATAAAAGAACCCTGGAAATTGATTCAAAACGAAAAATTGAGTGGATAGGCAAGTTTCAGAAAAATCAGTGAATAGTGTTTTTACCGGTGTAAAAATACTGCGGTATAATTGTACCCATAAGCGTGAAATTTTTATCAGTATTTTTAGGAAACAAAAATATGACATGAACGATAAAAATACGTAAGTCATGAATTTGTGGTTGAAATTAGTGATTGATTAAAGTTAAATTGCGTGTGGGACCCATCTATGACTTAAGTGACTTAAAAGTCACATTTACATGAGATCTTCTCTCTCCCCTTCCCCCTTCAAGACCGTGACAGCCCCTTCCTCCTTGCCCATGGAGTTTTTTTTTATTCTTTCTCCATAACTTGATCAAATCTTAACCAAATCGAGTGATTCTTGTCTTGAAATTCGATGAAAATCATCATCCGAACCCATTCCACCAATTAGTTTCCCTTGAAATCCTCTCTATTGTGAGAAAAGAGGCATTTACAGCCACGAAATTCTTAGGATTTTTGTGATTTTGGGGTTGATTTCTTGAGCAATTGCTTGTGGAGTTCTAGGAGGAGTCTTGTGACGTAATTGTGGGTAAGTTTCAACACCCCTCATGGATTGATTTGAAGATTTATTTTCAAATTTGTTTATGAACCATAAAGAGGGCTTGTTTGATTTGTAATGTTAGAGAGCTCAAATGGAAAATGTGCATTAGATGATAATGTCTTAGAATGATGTGTTAGAGCTAGAAATGCCATGAAAATTATTTGTGAAAAATATGGTTTTGTAACTTAGAAATTTTTGAGGTTGTCATGACTTTGAATTTTGAAAATGTGTTAGGATTGTATTGGTGAGTTGTTGTACGATTATATGTTATTATAATGGGATTGTATGAGGTGTGGAATGGTTAAAATTGGGTGAAAATCCCTTGGAATGGCTTATGTGCAATTCGGCCTTTAAAGGGAAATTAAGGAATGGATGTTGTTGGAAATTATTTGAGTGATGTATGATGTGCTAAATGGTACTTAGATGGGTTGTGTGGTGGTTTAAAGGTTGGAGAATCAATGAAAAATGGTTGATGGTGTTGAAAGTCATAAGGATCTTAGAGTGAAATATTAGGCAAAATGTTGTTTAAAAGACCTAAAGTGAGAAACGGCACTTGGTATGGCCTTTTGGCAACCTAAGGATATATAATAAAATGAGAAAGAAAATTTAGAAAAATAAATTTTGAAATAAGCCTTAAGAGGCCGAACCTACCTAGTGTGGGTGTAGAAATTTGACGTTTTTTGCATTTTGATAGAATTGCCATGTACTGACGATTCGTACATGGATATTGTAGGTTGTCGTACGTCGATTTGAACCCCGAACCGTGAGTCGGTGGATTGCCCTTGGTCCTGGACCAAGTAGGATTGAGGTAAGTGGTTGAATCATGCTTGTATAGTTGTAAATGACATGTATTCGTATGAGTTTTGAGTAATTGGGAATGTCCTTTGTGTAGGCATTCTGTTGAGTAACAAGTTTGGAAAATAAGCTGTTATGGAGCTAAGTGGAGGAACATATTGAGGTAACCTCTTGGTACTGGGGCTTGTTCCCCTTGTGTGTTCCACCATACCCGTTGAGGGTGATGGTAGGAAATATATATGAGTAGTGTAGAATAACATGAGCATGCATGTAGTATTTATGAGGGTACTTATGTACCGAGTCTCTGGCCAGTAGACAGTTTTTGCCTTCAGGCGTTTCGGACTTCCACTGGATAGGTCTCCGAGAAGGAGTTCCAGTTGACCCAGGGTCGTGGTGTGTGATCCGGATAGGAGCACACTAGGAAGTCTCGGGTGTATGCGGATGGGAGGGGTACCTTGGTTGATGTTCTAGGAACACGCCTTGGATGAGACCCATAGGCTTATATGCCGAGGACGTTGCGTGGTATTGGTAGCTACCATTCCCGCTTCGTCGTATTTTGTATTCCTATATTCCCCAGTTTCTCTAAATCCCTTGCTTTATCCCGTTTTGAAAAGTGGTTATTTTATATTATTTATATGCATCGAAGTGAGCCATTGGGCGGAGTTTTCTCCAGAACCTCTGGGTTACTGAGATATATTCGTATATCTCACCCCGTCTTGGGGGCTTTATTTCAAGAGGTAGCAGTGGCACTAGAGCGGCGGGCAAGAAGCCCGTAGGTTGAGTCATTGGAGGATTAGCACCTTTTTGCATTTTGATGGCCACTTGGCCAGGCTAGACTTAGGGCATAAATATCTCATATGTATGTAGGATGAGTTTCATAGTCATATTTGTTCATGTCGTTTTGCCTAAGTCTAGTAGTTTATGTCATTTAAGCTTATGTTTCAATTTGTAAGTTAAAGTTGTAATATTTGTAAGTTGTAATATTTGTATGAGATGTTGTAAGTATACATGGATATTGATGTAATATGAGGGGCTTTAGGCCTATTTTAGGATTATGATTATATGCTTATGTTGAGAAATTGCATGTAAATGGACTTTGGTGATTGAAATAAGTTAAGGAATTATAAAGTGAGCCATATAATATGTATTGTGTAATAACTATAAACTGAGTTGGGTTGTAAGTGCCCCAAGCGTTGTTGGTCCTTGTGTGTGCCACCCATTGGTTATTAGGTAATTTGAGGTGTTAGAAGTATTTGCAAATTTGGAGATTTTAGGAAAAACAAAGGAAACTCTGGCGAATTTTCTGTAGAATTGGCAGAATTTAGGCGAACTTCGGGAGAGTATATCTCCCTCCACAGAGGTCGGATAGGGACTTGCCATACGCCATTTTGAAGCTTGAGATTTCCCCTACATTGTGTCAAAATATGAGAATATTCTGGGTTGCACGCAGCCCTGTAGAAGCCTGTGGACACAGACTGTCCAGAACGCTCCTATGCAGGGGCTGTTTCTGGCAGTTTTTGGGAATTTTATTCCGGCTTCGTTTCTCAGTAAAATTAAACGTATGATATATCAAATTGAAGGTTGAGGTGTCTAGTTTGTGGTGTAAAAATTTGATAGCAATTGGATGAGTGTATTTTCTGAAGTAATTCATGGAGTGAGGGATGTTTAGAGCTGTTTTGGGGTTGGTTGGCAGTTTTGCTTGTCCAACTTCAAATGGCGATAACCGGAGCAAACGAGCTCCAAATAAAGCGTGCGATAGCTTCCTAGAAAGGTAATTAAGTAAGAAAAAAAGATAGCTAGAAAGGAAGGTCTGGTTTTGTGCGTTGAGTCCGCAGAAAAATAATTACCGAACCATGTTCGGATAGGTAGAAAACGTAAAATTGAGAAATTAGCTAAGTGGGTTTATGGGAACCCCTTAGTGGCTTTTAATAAGTAAAATAAGTTAGAAGAGTAGTTTAAATAAGTATTCCGCAAAGAGTCTGCAGTACAGTCACAACTTTTAATTATTACACTTTTTATTGTTTTAAATACTCGCGTAATAACGGAAAAAGTTTATTCGTATTTTTATAAATGAATTGTTGTGATTGTAACTGCGCTTAATATCATAATTAATGTTAACAATACTGGTGTACAACGGGATGTTACACAAAGTAGTTCATTTATAATATCCTTAATCTTTCTTGTTCAACAATAACTTGTGCATCAAGCAACATTGTCAGACACTGCTCGCTAGACAACTCGTCAAGCAAGGAAGTCAGTGAGGAATTTAATTTCAGGATAGTAATAAATGTCATCCATCATACTTGCTCGTTAGACTGCTCACTCAAGCGAACAAGTCAGCAAGCAATTCCACACTTTGGGCAGTAGCTACTGCCATCTTTCCATTCTGCTTGTTGAAGCAAGCAAGTCCGCGAGCACCCTCGCTAGACTGCTCGCTTCAGCGAGTGAAACTCTGCCCATGTGATGGCACTACCTAACTTGCAAATTTGCTCGCTAAACTACTTGCTTCAGCAAGTAAGTCAGTGAGCAGGCCTTGTGTTGCAAAATTGGTAGCATCTTGCTACATTTAACAAGATGCTGGGGTTCAGAGGAAAATTGTTGTCTTATGCAAAGTTATCTCGTGTGTCTTTTGATAGTAAAAAGGAGGGGTATTTATAAATGGGGTTGGGTTCCTTAGGTATGAAAAGGGAGCCAAGTCAACGGGTTTGGGACAGAGCCACTATAACTTGGGCTTGCTGGGTACAAGGCATTTTGCAGCCATTGTTAATGTACAATGATTATTGTGCAGGAGAAATGGGGTAGGGGGAGTGGAGGACATTCCAACGTATGACTTTGTGTGTCTTGCCTACCTTTTTCGGGCAATGGAGATGGAATAGCCGTGGGTTGGTTAGGACATCCTATTTTTCGAGATAAAGAGGGGCGTGAACTTTTTGTACGTCGTATGCCTACCTTTTTTGAAACATTTCCGGTTGTTTTGGTAGACGGAGACGGAATTGTTCGAGCCGATGTTCCTTTAAAAAGGAGGGGTATTTATAAATGGGATTGGGTTCCTTAGGTATGAAAAAGGGAGCCAAGTCAACGGGTTTGGGACAGAGCCACTATAACTTGGGCTTGCTGGGTACAAGGCATTTTGCAGCCATTGTTAATGTACAATGATTATTGTGCAGGAGAAATGGGGAGGGGGGAGTTGAGGACATTCCAACGTATGACTTTGTGTGTCTTGCCTACCTTTTTCGGGCAATGGAGATGGAATAGCCATGGGTTGGTTAGGACATCCTATTTTTCGAGATAAAGAGGGGCGTGAACTTTTTGTACGTCGTATGCCTACCTTTTTTGAAACATTTCCGGTTGTTTTGGTAGACGGAGACGGATTTGTTCGAGCCGATGTTCCTTTAAAAAGGAGGGGTATTTATAAATGGGGTTGGGATCCTTAGGTATGAAAAAGGGAGCCAAGTCAACGGGTTTGGGACCGAGCCACTATAACTTAGCCTTGCTGGGTACAAGGCATTTTGCAGCCATTGTTAATGTACAATGATTATTGTGCAGGAGAAATAGGGAGGGGGGAGTGGAGGACATTCCAACGTATGACTTTGTGTGTCTTGCATTGGGATGTATGATATACTAGTGTTGTCATCGCAACACTATCATGATAATGCTGGTTTAGCTTAGATAATATGGGCCTCTATTCTTGAGTCAGCTAACTGGGCTAGCAGAAATACCTATAATATCAAGTAAATTTAATGGAGCCTGGAATGAGATTAGTTTCTCATGTAGTTTAACATGAATCGATTGGGAAAACTTGCTGACCCAACATAGACATTATGGGAGAAACACACGGGAAAAATAAAAATAGTGCACGAACTTTGATGATGATGATGTAGGAAGTTATTTCTTTCAGATATATTTTAATGGAAGCTAACGTATAAAAACAAGAATTACCCAAATTAAAAAGAAAAGGGTCCTTCTAAAAATATTACATATTACCATCATGTCAAAAATAATAGTATAATAGTAAATAGTATGAAACTAATAACATCTTAATAAATAGTTGAGATAATAATAGTGGGGAAGAAAAGCATGGTTTGTAAACTATACGATTCGAAAAAGCAGTGGTCAAATCGAAATCTCAAAAGCAAATTTAAAGGCAAGCATAAACTAATACTGATATATCAACCTTTAGGGAGCGTTTGGTTGAAGAGAAATTTTTTGAATATTAGGAAAATATAATTGATAGAAAAATGGTTAGAAAGTGAATTTAGTAGGAAAGTTTAAAAAAAGTTGTTTGATATGCCAAAATATTATCGGAAAAATTGGATTAAATTTTCTAACTGTATGTTTGGTTGAAGGTAAAATATTGATGGGAAAATTGGTTAAAAATACTAAAATAACCCTTTATCATACTTTATGAAAATTGATTAATAATACTAAAAAATTTGTGAGTGTCTTTTTTGTCTTTTCAATAGAATGTGTCTTTCCATTTACCCATCTAAGTATAAAATACCATCTTAGAAATGGTCTTCTAAATAGTGCTCTCTATCTCATTTGCTTCCTATTTTTGAAAAGCTAGGGAAATATATTAGATGGGGAAATTATTCAATATCTTGAACCAAACATGGTGATCTCAAAAGACCAAAGTGAGATGCATAGGAAAATTTTTAAATAACTTGAACCAAACACCCCCTTAGACTTAAACATTTGTTTGAATTATTATAAAATCGATGCGGAAGCACAATATTTGTTTGTATATACCAACCGACATCCCCACAACTTTATTTACACATAGAACCAACCATAAGCATATCTCCTATTTCATGGCATATTTCTGAGTCCAAGAACGGGCAGTACTCTCGTACTTGGCCTTGTCAGTCTTGTACATGTGAGCAATATCAGGGACCAAAGGGTCATCGGGGTTAGGATCTGTCAGCAGGGAACAAATTGACAGTAGCACCTGCAATAAATTGCAATGTCAATGGAAAGTCTGAATACATAAATATCTACGGAAATGGCTGGTAAGTTTCACTGCTATAATCAGGTGAGATGGTTAAAACATTGCTGCATTTTCCATTATTTTCTTCATATGAAAATTCAAAACTCCATAAAAGTTACTTTTAACTTTCCTATACTTAAGATTTTTATCAAAAAATTTGGGAGGTTACGCAAAGAGACCCGTAGAAGGAATAAGTGACAACTATAAAGACTTACCTTGGAAACTGTAAGAGCAGGGCTCCACTGCTCTTTCAGAATGTCAAGACAGATACTTCCATTGCTGTTTATGTTAGGGTGAAATACCTTCGTTCGGAAGGAGACCTACACAAACACCACATTGTAAATACTTTTCCCAACCCAAACTACCGACGTTTTTTCTACCCAAGATCAAAGAAACATGCCTAAGACATACTTCAGGCCTCAAGAAAAGTTATAATATAATAAAAAGGTCAAAAGTTAAACACTACAACAAAGCAATATCAGATAGAGGACCATAAATGCTTCACCAAGCTGCCATACAAAACTAAAGATGTAAAGGGACTCTTTATCACTTGCACCTACAGATTCAAATATCTGGTTAGAGGGTCTTGTTTTGATATTAGTTTCGCAACACAAGCATTAATCAGATATCATCTCTCAATATTATTCTGACAACGGAAAATGGTTGAAATCAATGTCATGGCATGCCACAAACTACAGGAGAATATTTGGCAAGAAACAAATAAACTGTAAAATCAGCAATTCAATTTTTTAAGAGTCAAAATTTTCAGCCAAAGTATATATTAATTTCAATACAATATCCCATAAGAAATTGATTAAGATGATCAATCTCTTTTATGCTCATATAGTAACACAGATAGCAAGTAAGCACTTGAATCCATCACGTTAGCTTAGGCCTAGTTTGATACCTTTGGAGGCTTAAATGGATAATCTGGTGGGAAGTGAATGGTCACTAGGAATATACCACCAGCATAAGGACTGTCTGCTGGACCCATAATTGTTGCTTGCCAATGAAACATGTCTTCACCAACAGGGCCTGCTCGAGTGTAGAATACATAAGAATCATGATAACCTTCTTATACAAAATTGGCAGTTGGTGCAAATATATAACTAAATAATAAATATTATAATACATGCCATATATTTATATATATATGTAACTCATTTTCATTAATTCCTTTTCATTTGCATCACTCCATTTTCATCTCAACCAATCCAAACCCTACTTTATTGTTGCAGTTGGCAACATGAACTAGCAGCAAAATTTCCAAACCAATTCAAATCTACATATAGCTTCTGCTATTCTCAATCCAAGGCCTTCGCCATCTCTAATCCTTCTGCATTTGGCAACAGTGAACTACTTCACTACTACCGCCACAAATGTTTTCTCTTTTTCGTTTTTTAAAGCTTCATTCACAAATGCTGTCAGTAGCCATGCTACCCTCAGTTTCTCCTACTGTGCTCTCACATTTCCATACCATGCACGCAAAATGGTGTACAATCCAAAATCCATATCAAACAACTTTCTCTCATTGTATCGTACTTAAGTTCAAACAAATCACAATTTACTCAAAAGAATATTTTTGCATCTCGTCCAGGTATGGTTCAAACATAATTAAACCACTTTAAATCAGTTAAGTTAAACCGTATGGTATGTTTAATAATCACAAATCATATTCCAAATGACAAATAAATGGAAGATATAACATGTTATGAGGAGTGAAAAAAGAATATATGTGAAATGCATTTGCACACATGAGAAAGTAGAATGATCAAGAAGTACTAACAGAACATATTAATTTATTCAGCTTGCACATATATGCAGATAACTAAACATGGTTCTGAGCTATTGAAACAACAGGACTATATATGAGAGAGAGAGAGAGTGTCAGTGCAAACAAACCAGCGCTGCAGGAAACAGGAGGGTCCTTCTGTAGGTCCTTCAACTCCTTAGTAATGCGTTTTGAAGCCATCACAAGTGCACTACGTTTAAGACACAGATTTCAGGATTATCACTTCTAAAATTGAACCCAAACAAAAAAAAAAGTGTGAATCCATTATAAATACATTTAGCACGACATATGCCTTCCAAAACAGAATGAAGAAAACTATGATCTATAAATTTTAAGGGCAACAAAACAGCCAACTACTCACACTACGGCCCTCCAAGATAATTAAAACTCAATTCACTTTGCAAAATATGCAAGTAATAAAAAAATAAAATGAAAGATATTTTCTCTGGCGAATGTGGGTAACTCCAATTTCAGTCACCTACATCTCTGGTTTTCCTCCTAAGTTACCAGCCTTGGAACTAATTGTCCCCAGGTGCTTGGGGATCCACCATTTACCTCTGCAGCTTTTATCTCCCTTATTCCCATCACCTAAAGTATAAAAATCATGGTGTCTAGGACAGCCTAGACATTCAACATCATCTCCATCATCCCAATTTTGAAATCTCCAACGTCCCTCTCCAAAGATTTGACTCTTGCTTCAATCCAGGTACTGACCATTCACCGCAGGAACTACGGCTCTTGTACCAGGTAATAGAACACAACAAAACAATAACACAAGTGCAAGAGAATGACCAGAAATGGATTAAATGAAATACCACACAGACAGAATGCAGTACACCAGATAAAACAATAGCTACACTCCCTCAGAATACTCTCAAATACCCCCCCCCCCCCAAAACACAACCCACCAAGGGTTCAATCAATCTTGTCAGATCCCTTCCTTTACTGTAGGTGCCTAGCTAATGACATGACACGTTATGCCTCAACAGAATTTAAGAAGTATGACCCCCTGTCCTTACCCTTTTTCTTGTTCCTGTACAATTGTATTATGAGTGGTACATGTGCCTTAACATGTTCAAATTAAGTAGACAATATCAAAAAGGATTTAACAGAAAGATTAATATCAAGTCAATTTTGAATCAAACATATTTCGGTACCATATCAAATGTATAATAATTGCTTTTCTATGGGTTTATGGATTGCCAACCCCAACTAGTTTAGGATAAAGGTGATGTTTATGATATTGATGATTGATGATCATGAATAACTGAGAAAATTTTGATAGGTACACAAAACAAACTTATAAACCAGTTTATCCAATGCACAAAAATCAAGGTGACTGATTGAAATGATATATATAAAATAAAAAAAAGAAGAAGAAACAGATCCCTTGTAGAAAAGATCACAAAAACCCAGGATTTAAACCCATAATTGTTTTAATGCAATATCTTCAAACTATGTAGACAATGTTTCAAAAAAAAAATTGCCACCAAAACAATATGCAGTAAATTTTGAACCTATCTTGTTTCAGTACTATCTATCTCAAAAGTACAATTAATATTTAGGACGAGTAAAATGACAATTACAAGTTCTAACGCACAAAATTATTTCTAAACCAGTTTATCAAATGTACACAAAATAGCATAATAGCCGATTCAAAATAAGAATACAAATGATAATCTAGAATACTTTCGAGATTTTTACCAAAAATAAATAAATAAAAGGACTCCCTAGCAAAATAGCTCACTGAAACCCAGAATTTAAACCATACGACCAGCTATCGAAATTTCTACGGACTGACATGAAATAAGAAAAAATAAAATAAGGAAAACAAAAACAAAAACAAAAACAAACAAAAAAGTGAAGAGAAACTTGAAAAATCCCAAAAATCAAATTCCTCCTCCATCAAAATCCGATCACACAAAACAAAACCCACAAAGCAAGTGCTGCATAGGGAGGAACAGACAGCAAAGAAGGATCAAAAGAAAGAGAATCCAAAAGGGCACAGAGATTCGTAGCGAACCTTGCAGTCCTAGGGTTTGAAATTCGACCAGTGATGAGATAGAGAGAGACCAAAACGTTGAGGGATGGAAGAGAGATTCAAACGAGACTGCTTTCTTATATACCGTTGTGTGCGTCCATTGGATGCCCGCCGGGTGTAAATCTATATGGAATTACGATTTTAAAAGATTCTTTTAAGCTAATTTTTTTTTTTTAGATTTTAAAAGATTATTTAAAATTGAACAGACTTTAAACTTTAAAGACTCGATCAAGATTTCATAAGATTAGAATTTAAAAGATTTTAATATAATTTATAAGATTTGAAAAGACAATATAGATTTATAAGATTTTAAAAAATTATATGAATTTTTAACAAACATTTAAAATTACAAGAGTCAATAAAAAAGGGAAAGGTTATACGTATAACATATTTTTATTTACAACATTTTATAATCATATCTTAACCGTTGATTTCTGTCAATTAACGGATATAATTCATTCCAAGTTAAATATTAATTAATGAGTTTGATTTGCGAAAATAATAACCATTGATTTATGAAAATCAACGGTTAAGATATGTTTGTAAAAGGTTGTAAACAAAAATAAGTTGTAAGTATAATCTTCCCCATAAAAAAATAACAAAGAAATGCAATGAAATTAATAAAAAAAAAAAGTAAAACCTAATATAATTTCCTCAATCAATAAAACATAATATAATTTTTAACAAACATTCAAAATTACTAAACAACAGCTTTTCACATATCTAATGGGTTGAAAATTATCTTCTTCATTTGGTAAGCTATGCATATATGATTATAAGACCCAATTTTTTTTAATTATAAAAATAATTCTAAATTTACATATAGAACCTAAAGTTCATGATAAAATTTCGTTTGGAATTTTTTGCAATTGATCTTGAAAACCTTGGGGTTTTTATTTTACGTGATGAGAGTTTTCTAACTATATATCATATGCAAATTTTCTTTGAATATTCTAAGAAAATTTCGAATCTGAAATTTTGGGTTTAATTTCATGAAAGTTTAGAAAATTTCTCAAATTTTTTTCAATCGATACTTTGAAACCTTAAATTGCTTTGAGGCTTTTGAGAAACAAGCTTTTAGTTATCTATTGACACAAAAATTGTTTGAAATCGTTTCCTATAGTGAAGAAATTTCGTTCATGAATGTATTGTTACGAAAAATAGGGTTCATATTATGAAAGTTTCAATCTTTTTTTAAATTGATACTGTTTTATTGATGTAAAACGAAAATTGGGTTGAGGGTTTTAGTTCTCCTGTTATTTTTTCATTGTTTTATGTTGTTTTTAATACAAAAATCACACGTTTTTGTGCCAAGAAAAACCGCGACCCATAGCTTGAAAAATCACTTTTTAAACTTTCAAAATTTCTCAAAGATGGCTCAAAAATATGTTATTTTTGAGATAGATTATATTAAAATTTCGTTGGTTTGTTGTTTCTGGGTTATTTTGTGATGAAAATCGCTAAAAAATATGTTTTTTTTTTTTTAGTTTTGATGAAGCTCCCATGGCGGAACCTAATTTCGAGCAGTCAACCTGCCAAAGGAAGAAGAAAACACTGCAATAGAATAATTTCAAGAAATCCTAGGGGTTAGGGTGAGATTGTGAGAGAGGCATCCTATTTATATTTTTCACTAAAAAATCTCACAAAATTCACACCAATAGAAAATGAGGTATGTTTTTCTCATGTTACATGAGATAACATACCCCTCCTACTCATACATTAAAAGGTGTGCTAGCATTTATTTATTTTTTTTAAAAGTGGGTCCCACATGCTTTGTGTCTATGACATGAGATAGCAAATCTCATGCAACATAAGACTTGTACTTCCATAGAAAATACATTAAAATCGTCGGAATTTTGAATACCACGAGATTGTGATTCCATTGTTTAAAATCCTAATTGAGTACCAATGGATTTGGACAGATTCTAAAATAATCCTTTAAAATCCTAATCGAATATCACGTGACTTTTTTTCAATCCATTAAAATCCTAATCAAATACCAACGGATTTTCTTGTTCAAAAATAATCCATTAAAATCTTTTGAAATCTCAATCCAATACACCCCCTTAAGTTTTGATTTAAATAGACCATCTCTTTATAAAAAATATTGGGTCTGGCATGTTCTGTTGTTAGCTTGTGTAGACCCTAAATTAGGGGTGTGTATGGATCGGTTCGGTTCGATTTTTGTTAAAAATCAAACTGAACCAGTTTTAAATGGTTTGGTTTTCAAACCGAACCAGTTTTCTATTTTATAACTGGTTTTTGATTTTTCCAAACCGGTTTGAAACGGGTTCAAAAACCGGTTTATGGTTAATAACCAGTTTTAATTTAAAATCGGTTTTCCTATACAAAATTGCCACAATAGAGACCCGATTCCAATGTTATAAAAACTGGACCGATCCGGCCGGGTCGACCCGGAAACCAGTGAACCGGTCATGTAACCGGTCCGGTTTTCATATTGGACCGGTCATGTTACAGAACCGGTGTGACCCGATGCGACCCGGCCGGTTTTCGTAAAAACTGGTGACCCGGTCGGTTCAACCGGTGACCTGGCCCGGTCTATAAAAATTAAAAAAATAATAATTTATTTTCATAAATTAATGTCTTAAGTATATTTTTTGAAATTGGTATATTTTTTTTCCAAGTACTTAAGTATATTTATAGTTTTTTTAATATAAATAGTAGATTTACATGTACTTACCGGGTCATGCGGTTGAACCAGTGACCCAATGACCCAGTACCTCGACCGGGTCAATAACCGAGCCGAGTTTAATAACGTTGCCCGATTCACAATCCATAGCAGCTGAACATGGAACCTACCAATTTTAGCTCAAAAAACAAAAACAAATTTCCACATATCTCATCTCTTGAGTGAGAGAAAAGAAAAACCTAACAATTGCCATTAGAAAAGAAGGAACAGATGATTGGGAGAAGGAAGTACACAATGGCAAGTGCTTTGAATTTCTAACTGTAGTTTTAGAAATGCAAGTACATTGTAGGTGCCTTCGTAGATGAAGAATGCTACTGCAGTGCCTAGATGAAAGTTAGTAAGGTTCAAACCTGAAAGCAAAACAAAAGATTTGGGTATTTTGAATTCAAAGAAAATTGGTTTGGATAACTGTGGATATCCATTTGATAAATGAGTGGGTAACCAAATTGCTTTACATCATAAGAAGTGGTTTTTTTTAAAACCGGATTTTAAAAGAAAATCTGATTTTTTAAGTATGGATCGGTTTGGATCTGGTTCAGTTTGGATAATTTGGATAATTTGAACACCCCTATCCCAAATTACAAGTTTGGCTTGACCTATATTTAAAAAATAAACTCCTTTGCCTAGGCCTGTTAGCCTGTTAAACATTTAATAATTAAAAGAATAATTAAAATAATATTATTTTATTATTCAAAATTATTAAAATAATAATTTTATTTATTTTATTTAAAATAAAGAATAAGATATAGGTCGGCCTATAGGCTTATAGGTCCGACATATACAAAAAAAGCCTATGGCCTATTTTCTAAATAAGTTTTTTTTTTAAAGCTTAGGCCTATGGGTTATCTATGTAAGCTTTTATCTATACAAAAAAAGCCTATGACCTATTTTCAAAAACCAAAAAAAGTTTAAAAATACTTATTATAGTTATCTATGTAAGCTTTTTTTTTTTAGAATTGGGGAAATTGACAAAATAGGGTTTTTTTTTAAAAAGTAAATAAAATAGGGTCATGGGTTAACAATTGACCCGATTCATTTTTTATTTAAGCAAAAATTTAAAAACTTGTGTTTGAACTATTTTTATGTTTTACGCGATTTTTTTATCCGTTTTTACTCGTGTTTTAACATGAACCGCTTCAGTAAAAACATAAATTTTATGTTTTTACACTAGTTTTTAACAACAATTTGTAACTATTTTGTTATCCTAGGATTTTTTTTATTTTTTTAGAATGATAATTTACTGATTTTGTAACCTGTTCAAGTTTAATTTTGAGATTATACATTGGATAAAATGAAATGAAAAATAATAGGTTTATTTTTAGGATCCAACATAACATTTTTATGAAATAATAAAAGTTTGACTAGCTTATTTCAAATTTAAATTATAATAAGGCCTTCAATTAAGCTAATAAGCTGAAACTTTTAATTTCTAAATTGGCATACAATATAATCAAACTATTATATTATCTATAAAATTAATATAATAATATTAATCTATAATTAATTAAGGATTTATCATTTTTATTCCGCAAATCTCCACCATCAGATAAGATTGTAATCTAACGGTATTGAAAAAGGTAGGTAAAGGTAGACAAAATAAGAGTAGGCAGAATAACCTATCCCTTTTTATAAAATTCATATAAGAAGAAACAAATGAAATTCCTACAATATCTTTTATTAATTTCCTAATCCCAAAATAACGTAGTTTTGAGATTGATAGAGATAATTTTATCTCATGTTGAAGGAGAAACAAATAAACTCATTAATAAATTATTGAAATATTGAAATATTATAAAAAAATAGTTATATGTCTAAATAATAAATAAAAAAGTCAATATGATAGGCTAAATAAGATTTTTTAAAGACATTTAGAGAGATCTCAAAATTTATTTTGCTGGTACTTGGAGCTTTTGGATAAAACTTGGCATACATTGCGAGTTATGGGATTGAAAATTGATTAATTTTTTATCACCGAACACCATGCAATTGATGGTAACACATTAATTCCATGTTTGGTAATTGATTAGTGAGGTCTTTAAACGGCAAAACCAGCTTTCGAAGCAGAAATAGCGACTAGTTGGGACCTATGTTGCTCGGACACCGACACGGGACAAGGGATACGACACGAGGCTCTGACACGTTAATTTTAAAAAATGTTAAATTTCGACACGTTAGGACACGTTTTGATATTATATAATTTTTTTAATTTATGTAGTGTATATTATATTTAGTATTCAATAATTTAACAAAAAATAAAGCTAAACTTATAATACCCATCAATTTTGCAAAGAAACATAAGATATCCCAAATATTTTTATTAAACTCAATATAATAGTAATCGTACTCAAACGAATCTAA